GTCATAGAAAATGAAGAAGCTGAAGTGCTCTGGGACTTCAGAATTCAAATAGACAAGCACCTGCCACACCACACCCCAGACTTAACAATTGTTGATAAGAAAGAGAAAAAAGACTGGATAGTGGACATTGCAGTACATGGAGACAGCAGAAGAGAAGAAAAAGAACTGAAGAAAATCACAAAATACAAAGACTTGCAAATAGAAACAGAATGATTGTGGCAAAAGAAAGCAAAGATAGTACCAATAATAATAGGTGCCTTGGAGCAATCCCAAAACATCTGGAGCACCCCTTGAACCTATCGGCACTGACAAAATCACCATCAGTCAATCGCAAAACGCAGCTTTACTTGGAACAGCTTACATCCTGCGACAATACCTTTAATATTATTAAACAACATCTGCTTATCCCAGGTCCTTGGGAAGGACTCAATAGGTGGACAAAAACGCCAGATCCAGTCTAAGCATCTGGCTGACTGTGCCACCAACCATAAGAATAAAAATAATTGCATCCTTCCAATTTATTTCTTGCATCCTCCCCAAAGAGCTCAGCCAGTCAGCTTCATGGCTGAGTTGCTTTGGGAGCCTGGATCATCCTTCACTCTGCCTCTCGGTGCCCCATAGGTTTGGGGGCAGTGGCTTCATCATGCTGGAGTTCCTTTCCCCAAACTGGGCTGATCCTTCAAGCCTCCCACACGGTTGACGAGGAGAAACCAGGCTGGCAGGGAACAGAGTTCTGCACTTAAAAGATCAGTGAGGCAACACGCACGCCTGGTTGGCCTCTGTGCATTCGAAACCATTCATTTGCAAGTCAAGACATCTTCCGGGCTGTTCATCTGGCAAGACTCCCAACGGACCCTTTGCAACCCTGGATCTGTTTGGGCTGAGAAAGCTGCTTAGGAAGTGTGTATCTCAGCCACTGCGCCCCCACTTCGCTCTTTCTCCCTCCTTTCGTGAGTCTCTGGCAACGACCAGCTGCCCCACATCTGGGCAACATTAGCCGAGCCTCTGACCTGTCAAAGAACAAACTGCTTGTTGGCGGAGAGTTTGCAGAAAGTTAAGACGAATTTCCTGGATGGCGTGAGAGAGAGGAACACGGAAGACTGCAGCACATCCAGCTGCAGAGGACGGGTAAGGGGGGAAAAAGCCTTTTCTTCCAGTAGAAAGTTCTGAAGTCATTAAGTTTTATTTTGTTTAAGAAACGTGTCAATCATTCAGACGTTTTTCAGAAAGGTTGATGTGATTAAAACCAAAAGGCAGCACTTAACGTGTTGGAGTAAGACCCACAGACCTTGGTGGTACTGGCTAGACATGTACCAAATTATGTGATAGTCATTTACGGTATGAATTTGGTTTGGTGTTACCCAGGTAGCCATGCTGGTGTGTAGTGATGCTGAATGGGTTTATCATCTTGGATTAGACGGTGCTGGACTCTGAGCGTCCTCCTTCCCCAACCTGGGATCTCTGGATGTCTGAGGACAATCACCCCATCCAGTACAATCCATCTAAAGGACTTCATGTTGGGCCAGACTGACTGATTTATTTATTGAATGGAATAAATGGTGCTCTTTCCAGTTTCACAATGCAACTAAATATAAGCTTTGAGGTTGACAGTAAATTACTCTATAGCTCCTAATAAGGCAATACGGAGGAGCAACTTTTTTTAAAAAATGCAAACAAAAATCAATTTTGTATTCTGGAGCAGAGCAAATGCTTTGTTGGAAAACAATCCGGTTTAGATTTGTGTTCTCTACTCTGGCCCTCACCGGCAATCCTGGGATTTAGGCAGAGTGATGGTTCTAGCTAAGTTAGGAACTGGATTTAATATTCTTATGGAGTATTCCCTCTTTGGATAGTAAAGTATATCACTACCTTTGTTTTGGAATATAGCCTGCTGTGTTTAGCATTTCTTCATCTGCCCCTATAGTTCTGCCTGTAGCACCTTCATAGGAGAAGTCTTTTCAAACTGCTTTAATAGAAGATGGAAAACATTACACCTCGGTCTTTACGTACAGGTATTTATTCAATGTAATTACTTGTATGCTGCCTCCTTAAGCATGGAGTAAGCATGTGCTTTATCCTGCAATAGTGCTCTACCCAGAGATTATGGGTGGATAACTCCTTGGATCCTCTGTGGGCTCCCTACTTTCTCAGGAGGAGATCAGCTTGATGCCAGCTGTAATCCACCATGTGGAGTCCCTGGGGTTCTCTGAGCTTGGTTGTTTGCTTGCAGACCCAACTAGGTAACATCTTCAGTGCTAGAAGGGAGTGGGGTTTGCTCTCTGTTTATATACAGTGATTTGCCCTGCCAGTGTTGGTGGGGGTGTGGTTTTCTCCTTGGTAGTTCCTTGGTTGGGGTATTGTTTTCTGCTTGTTTGTTTGGTGTTAATCCCTGCTTATCTGGGTGTTGGTTGCTGGAGAGGATGTGTTCT